GCATTGAAACGATTAGGGGTAGTTTAGTGACTAACAACAAGAGCAGTATTCATCCCTCCCCCCAGATATGCTACAAATTAAGTTATATTATAATATAATATAAGAAATTTGATAATAATACTTCAACTAACTTTAAGTGATTTTTCGTATTCCGTCTTATGTAACTTCGAGGGGTGTTTTCTCCCCCTAAATATGAAAACGCGCCGATGTAAAAAGATACGTATTTCTTATTTTCGGTCCTCTATAGCATATCTAAAAACCAAAGCAATCGGCGGCGGACAGCTAAAAACCCTTTCTTGTAAGAGAGATCTAAACAATCATTTTCTTGAAAGTATTTCTATTAAAATCCATTATATAATTCAAATTTATAATAAAAATTTGATATAAACAATTGAATATAATCAATTTCACCTCCTTCTAAAAAAACCATCGATTTCACCACAATCTAATTAAAAATCTATTATAATCTTAAATTTCTATAAAAATCTATTATAATTCAAATTTGTAATAAAATTTCATTACAATTATATTTTATATTAAAAAGTTATTATAATTAACATCACCCCCATTTAAAATCGATTAATTTAAATTTCTATCATAATCTATCTACATTATAATCCCAAACGAAATAATTAGATAACGTTACTGACAACGACATGTTACGATTGAAATAAAGTGTGTCAAAACAATTGAATAAGATGTTTTGTCGGTAAATCGTAGCCTTGCGGAAATGATAAAATCATCGTCAGATAACGTGTTAATATTACACTTGAGGTTAAATCGCGAGCAACTAAGAATTGATTCGAGGCAAACACGCGACTTTTGTCGACCATTGTAAAAGGCGATCCAATTATGATCCCATTTATGAATCATGACAGTTTTCTCGAGTGTAGGGAGATTGTTACAATGTAATGGATTCCCCCCGTTTCTTCGATTCTGGCATTTTAGTTGGTAATGTAAGGACTCGGATCGAAAACTGCGTCGAATAGAGGTCGGTTTGTCGTTCTGTACAGCGTCGAATTTATGGTTGCTGTCCGTAGCCGTAAGATTTATGGGAATCCGATGCCTTAATTGGAAAATTATAGGACAATGTCTGGGAACGGAGCGTTCGGCGCACGGCTCGTTATTCAGCGCGTATAATCTACCCCTCGCCGACTTTTCGAACACCACCTCGGTATTTCCTTTCCGACAGAGGCTCAGGTGTCGCCGACACTTTCACTGTCAGACTGCGGTGTCATCGTTTCGACCGACGGAATTTTCAATGGTCAATTTAATCGACAGGCTTTTCAATCGTCAATTTAATCAATAGATTTGAATTTTAAAGCGGATGAGGCACAATTTATGTATTAGCTAGGAAATTCGTTGCGTCGATGGTGAAGTGGAAATGTTGTTAATGTTTATCACAATATATATGTCACAATACACGCGATTTGTTTTACAAGTACTTTTGCAAGAAAATAAATACTTTTACATTTCAAATAAAATTCACTATATCATGTTCAATGAAATGATAATGTTTCATGCAGCTTCAAATAATATTTCACGCGATATTGTTATATTGTTCCTGTTAAATTGTTAATAGCAAACAAAATAATATAATAAAATAATAATAAAAATAATATATAAATAATAATAAAATAATATAAATAATAAAAAATAAAATAAATAATAAAAAATAAAATAAAAAATAAAAAATAATATAAATAATAATAATATAATATAATAATTTTTGTTAATAACAAACAAAATAATGTTTGCCGAGTTTGTAAGTGGTTGTTGCTGAGTTTGGTTATCAGGTAGCGCGATGAAATGCGAGTGCATCGGGCAAGGGTTTTCGACTGTCGGGTTAGAAGTCGCTAAAAATTTGTTTTATTATTACATGCTGTTGATGTCGAGATTCACCGTTGATTTATGGCTGCGCGGTCGCTTTTTAGCACACGAAGCTGTGCCGAGTGTTTGAGGCTACGAGTTTTTGTGGCGCGGTAGCCATAAAACAAAACCACGGACCGTGAAAATTAATCTTTAGTTCAGTTTTTTCTGGGAACGTTAATTGTATAAATGCTAACTGGTCGTACAGTTAATTATGCAAGGAGTTATGAAAGACATTTTGCATTTAGAACTGAAATAATTGACACAATGACTGAACATTTTATTGTTCTTTACAAGTGATATTTATTAAACGAACCAATGTATAATACTTTTGTAATTGACATAGACACAATGTTATAAATAATACCTTGAAATGTTGATCGATGATGAACAAAAATTAATAATTAAATTTAAATTATTATACTTTCGTTCTAGTTGACTCATTTTAATCAGTTGAACTTTTACAGCTTTACAGAGCAACTTCACTTTCTCGTTTTGTATTTCAATAAAATGGAGGTTCTATGAAAAGATCACAACCTACATACAGTGTGTCCCATAATTATATTAATAATAATATTATATTAATAATAATTATTATTATTAATAGATATAAATATATATGTTATTAATTTATATACTATTAATATACTATTAATATAATAGTATAATTAATATACTATTAATATAATGGTATAATTAATATACTATTAATTATACTACATATATTATAATATATATTATATACTATTAATATATATATATATATATATATATATATATATATATATATATATATATATATATATATAAAAAAATATA